TTGCAACGTTGGAAAAAATACTAAATAAAGCTGTAGTTGTGAATCAAAGGATTATAGACCCAAGTGCAGGGAAAGGAGAGAAAGGACAAAAGATAAAAAAGTGAGAAAGGTTGGAAAATTAAGGGTCCATATTTGCTTAACAGAAGATCTATTTAACCTTACTCACTACTACATCTTTTGTCCTTTCTCATCTTTCCCTCCTTTTCCCAAATTTGGGTCTATAATCCTTTGAGTCACAACTCCAGCTTTATTTAGTAATCCTTCCTCATTCACACAACTCCAAGTATTTGAAAATATTTCCTTTCCACTCAAAAATAAAATATGAATAAAGGTTTACGGCTTTGTGAAACTTCTTTTTTGAGTTTATGCCGTTGAAATAGATAAATAATAAAAAAATTAAAACATTTTGTCGGTTTTGTTTACACATTTATTGGGCTGCATTGGAACTTGCCTTGGGCCGCATGTGGCCCACGGTTGGACACCCCTGCTGTACACTAAGAAGGGATTTTTTTGAAATTCCCCCTGCAGGGGAGAGGGAGAGGATTAAGGCTTATCCCAAAGAACTCAGCTTCTACTGTACTATTTTAGATGTAATATTTTATTTTTAACGGCATTTTAGAAGGGTATGCTATGAGAATGCACCCTAATAAAAAATTTTTGGAAATCCCCCACGGAGGAGAGGTAGAGGGTTAAGGACTACCTTGAAGAACTCGTCTTCTATTGTACTATTTTAGGTGCAGTTTTTTGCGTTTTAGTAGGGTATGCCATGAGAATGCACATTTTAAGAAGGGATTTTTGGAAATTCCACCCCCCAAGGAAGAGGAAGAGAGAGTTTGTTTTAGTCAGTATAAAGTGTACATAATAAAGATGGAAAGTAAATTGTGGCACATATAGTATACATTTTGGCTATTAATAAATATTTTAATCATTTTCACTTAACTCAAAAACAATATATCCAAAATAAACAAATTCGAACAAATATTTGAATTCATTCCAAATTCAAAAAATTTAAAATATTGAATTTGAAATATAATGTTCCAAACAAGTTTTTTTTTAGATTTTAGAATTTAAAATTAATCATTTTATTCAAGTAAGGTTATCATTAAGTAAGTTAATTCTCCGTTATAATGAAAAATTTTCTGATTTTTTTTATTTTATATATTATTTCATTTTTTATTTTTTAGATTACTTAAATAAAAAATCTTTTTAAATACTAAGAATTTATTCAGATAAAATTCAATAATGATTTTAAACATTTTTTTTTTCCTATTAGATATCTGATAAATAGAATGGTGAAAACAAAATTTCTCATAAATTTGACCCTAATCTTATAATCGAGATGGGTTAATAATAATAATAATAATTCTTCGAAAACACTATGCAGCACTGGAGAACAACACTGCATCTCAGGGTTAGTAACACTTCCATACAAACAAACGAAATATTCATCAGACGAGGAATTTTTCAAGGAGATTCCTTGAGTCCTCTCTAATTCTGCCTAGCCCTGAACCCATTATCCAACATGTTAAACAACACTCAATACGGCTACAATATCAGACATGAAAAAACAACACAGTTTACGCTGTCACATCTCATGTACATGGACGACATAAAACTTTATGCATCCACACAGAAACAACTTCATCAACTCCTACAAATCACACACTCATACACTAAGGACATACAAATGGAGTTTGGCTTAGACAAATGCAAAAAAACTTCACATAGAAAAAGGAATCCTGAAGAAAGAAGATTTTGCACTTGGAAATGGAGACGTTATTGAATCCATGGAAGAGGGCGAGTTCTACAAGTATTTAGGATTCCAACAGGCCAAACTAACAGAACATACACAAATAAAGCAACGATTAATTAAAGAATACCAAAGTAGGTTAAACGCTATACTTAGAACACAGTTAAATGCAAAACACACAGTTAAAGCAATAAACACATATGTCATCCCAGTACTCACATACTCTTTTGGAGTTATACATTGGACTCACACAGATCTCGAGCAACTCCAAAGGAAAACAAGAACAACACTTACTAAGCATAAACAACATCATCCTAAATCCGCCACAGAAAGATTAACCCTTCCACGTAAAGAAGGCGGACGTGGCCTGATTGACATAGTTAACCTTCACTACAAACAAATACAGTCACTGCGAGAGTTTTTCTACAAGAAACAAGAAACATCACAGTTACATAAAGCAGTAACTCTAGCAGACTCAAATAACACACCATTAAACTTACACTCACAACATACAGACATGACACAACATATAAAAAGCATAGACAACATTAAGCAATCATGGGCTCAAAAGGCTCTCCATGGCAGGCATCCTTACGACCTGGCCCAGGATTTTGTTGACAAAACTGCGTCAAACAGCTGGTTAGATCGGGGATGCCTCTTTGGGGAGACGGAAGGATTCATGATTGCCATACAGGATCAGGTCATAAATACTAAAAACTACAGAAAACACATACTCAAAGATACAACACTCACAAATGACACATGCAGAAAATGTCACATCATGCCAGAAACTATACAACACATCACTTCTGGTTGCAAGCTCTTGGCACAGACAGATTACTTACATAGACACAATCAAGTAGCAAATATAATACACCAAGAGCTTGCAAAGAAACACAAATTGGTAGACATCCACGAACCATACTACAAGTATATTCCACAGACAGTATTGGAAAACAACACGCACAAAATGTACTACGACAGAGCCATAATCACAGATAAAACAATTTACCACAACAGACCAGACATCACACTCATTGACAAACACAATAAAATCACATACATTATAGACATAGCCATTCCAAACACTCACAATGTACAAAACACATGCACTGAAAAAATTAGCAAGTACACAGAACTCGCCCAGGAAATAAGGCATCTGTGGAGGATGGATAGGGTGCTTATTGTACCTGTCGTTCTCTCCTGTACAGGTGTGATACCACACACACTACACAAAAGCCTGGGAACATTACAATTGAGTAGAAATACATACATCACACTACAGAAGGCCACTATATTGAATACATGCCACATTGTTAGGAAATTCCTGAATACAGACACACACACTGACACACTTATTTAATTTTAGTTTTGTTTTGGTTACTATGCCTTGACTTTGGTCCGGCATAGTACACAGCCACCGGTGTGAACCGAGTATAACTGACAAAACATAACAAAAAAAATAATAATAATAATAATAACAACAACATTAAGCACAGAGCCCAAAAGGTTAGGAGTTGAAAATTGAAATTTAAAATAATCTCTCAACAAACCTTTAACCGGTGGGAAAAAAATATGAGTAATACTACACGCAAACGTTTTTGGATCCCTCCCTGGGTCCTTTCTCAAGCAAAGATTAGTCCGTAAAAATTCGTTAGAATGAAGACCAGCAGAACGAAATTCTTCCAAACTGCGACATTCGAAAAACAAATTATTTAGAACCATATTTCAAATATCGAAATTCAAAAAAATCAAGGTGAATCACGTGCATTCCAGTATTCGTAATCCAAAGTCATTACATAATGTTCGGTTTTTTATAACGGCATTTTATGCATTTTAAAAATTAAGTAAAAATAAAAATGAAATATCATATCAGCAGGTTTGATGTTTTAATACCCTAATTATTATACGTATTTATTAATGTGAATCGTCATTCTGGAGTAGGGCCTGCCACGCTAGAGACAGGGTAATTTCATCCCTCGAATTGATAGGTGCAGATGTATTGTATGCTTTGCATATTTCCATTTGTTCCAACCACTTGAGGTGGTCTGTAAAAGGTGTGGTAATAAGGAGTTTTGTGTTGTCGAAGTCTGCAGAGATCTCCGGGTCCGAAGCATACAAAGATAACGACGTAGAACCTCTGTTGTGTAGGATGTCCCGTTGGTGCTCCGTCCATCTGACACCAATAGCACGTTTAGTAGTGCCAATGTAGACCAATTCCCTATCAAATCTATGGTCCATGAGGGGGACAGCGTACACAGTTAGGGTACATGATGAGAATGTACACAAAGAAGGGACTTTCCCCCACTGAGGAGAGGGAGAGAAAGAGGAAGAGGGTTAAGGATTACCCTGAATTCGGATTTTACTGTACTATTTTAAATGCGGTTTTTTGCGGAAAATCAAACATGTTTTTAGACCCATCTAAAAATTCTCTAATTTGTCTTGGAAGAGGGAGAACCTAATTCTTGCACCCGGTAAAAACAGGTAAGATGCTATTATTATGTATATTGAATGATAATACAAAAAAATAATTTTTAATAGTCTAGATTCATATTTGAAATTCAATTTTAACTAGCTGATAAATTTGTTTATGATTATTAATAATTTCATATACTCACTTTTAAAGCAATCTGCAATGAAAATTTAATTTTTTCTGCAAGTTTTGGACCAATATCCCAAAGTAATCTCTGTGGTGCTTTCAGTTTTGCTTGCTGAAATGTTTTCAGTGGTGGCATACATCGACCATTATCATCATATAACCTTTCTAACACTCTTAAAATGTATCATAATGTTACTTTCAAAAAAATGATAACACAACCAAAAGAAATAATCTGAACTTACTCTTTACTGAGTGTAAATTCCCACATGTGAGCCATAACAGGAGCATCTGCCATACTATGTTCACAATTAATTCCACACGAAGAATTTCCAAGAATTAACAGATTTAATGATTTATCAAACCATATATTTTTCCCATCACCATTAAGTAAATAATTACATTTACTGTTCAGATCTTTTGGAATATAATCTAAAATTGCAATCTGAAAACATTAATTAATTAAAACATTAATATATCTGATTAATCAATTTATTACATCCATGTGTTTGATATATATATATATTTATCAAACACTTATATTTATATAAGTATAACAAACTTATATATATATATAAGTTAGCAAACATTATTCAATCTCATACTATAATTTATTACATAAGCATATGATATTAATCACACAATAGATTTCTAAAATTTATTTTCTAAAAAAGTACTTACAATAAAGATAGATCTTTCTACAGCTCTTAGACTTTCACCATTGATGCCAGAAATGAGGCATTCTTTTCGAATTTTTGCCCATTCAGTTCTTTCTAATGCAGTCAAAGAAGCAATATTTTTTTCTTCTTCAGAAATTAAATCTAATTGAATTAAATATAATCCATTATTGTTTGATCTTGATAATTTATTTAATATATAACAGGGTTTTATATTACTTGATATTCATAATTACCAGCATGTTTTTCTGCATCTTTTACAATCCATTCAATTTGTTCTTCCAGAGAAGTTGGACATAGTAATTGATTCATTTTATCATAAACATGTAATTTGTAGTATAAACCTCTTCTCATAACAATAATATGCTAATTAAATATTAAAATTTTTAAATATTAGTTCATAACATAAATGATCAACAAAATTTTAAAAACTATTTGTATTTTAAAAAGTACTATTTTTTTTATTAAAAAGTAGCTATTTCTTAAGTTGCTCATTTCACAACACATTTTTGAGCAATAAAATAAATTACAGACATCCCCTTAAAATCAGTAATCCATTCCTAATTATTAGACATTCTAGAGAAAAACATTAATCATGAATTTATTCCTCATTATTTTATAATAAATGGAGAAAAATTATAAACATGTACCAATGCCAAACTAAATCTCCAATTAATTTCCAAAAAATATAACTATATGTAGGTGATACATTGAGTTTTAAAAGAAAAAAACCTATCATATTAAGATGTAAAATATTTAAAACATTACTTGATCATTAACAAATAGTTGCTTTGTATACAGTACAATCAGTCTGCATACAAAGCAACTATCTATCTGCAGAAGACAGATAATTGCTTTGTATGTGGACAGATCAACTGTCTGCATGTACGTGTCCACTGCCCCATACATATGGGCATCTGCAGAGAGGGCAAATGGGGCTCTTTCCCTCCCAGGAATCAAATAAAAAATTCCACAAATTATAAACATAAAAATGATTGAGACTTGATCATGGGATGCTTTGTCTTTTTGTAGTGAAGCAATATTGTACTCTGTAATCTACTTGTGAAAAAATTCCAAAAAATTAAATAACTAAATAAAAATTTATTGATTAATTATTTTTCTCCGAGCTTTGCCTCTACTGGAAAATTTTCTGCAGACACCCATGCATATACATTATATTTATGATAGAGCAAGGCAAATAATATAAAGTAATAAAGAAGTCTGTTATTTTTAAAAATTGATCTCTCTATTACTTTATTATTAAAATGCAAGCAAAAATTTACAGTGAAAAACAAATAAATTTAACACATTCTTAAACAAAATGTAAGAGGTCATGACCTAAAATGACTTATTACGAAAAATGCTGCTTAATTTGGATATTTTTGCTTTTAAAGCAATCTGCAATGAAAATTTAATTTTTTCTGCAAGTTTTGGACTAATATCCCAAAGTAATCTCTGTGGTGCTTTCAGTTTTGCTTGCTGAAATGTTTTCAGTGGTGGCATACATCGACCATTATCATCATATAACCTTTCTAATTTTTCATCACAAATTAAAACTTTTTATACTCTCTCTGTTTTCTTACTTTACTAAGTTATTTTCTGAGGTTCATCTACTAACCCATTAACAATAAACTTAGAAATTTACACTGTTGAAGATTTTCATTTGCTAATGCTGTAATTTAAATTTTAAATGTGATTTCTGATCTGTTATTAATGATCAAATGATTCTGTTTGATTTTCCATCCATTTAACATTTGGATATTGAAAGTATGCTTTGAAATACTATAAATACAGTATTTCAAATTTGAATTTCAAAATCAAATCATCAAAAAATTTAAAATTTATGCTGTTATTGGTTAGAAAAATTTCATTTACTGATGTTGGTTATAAAAAGTAATGAACTGTGCATAATCTTGAGACATATTCACTCTTGCTGTTCGCTAAGCTGGAATTATGAAGTACCATGCATACATCCTTTTGAAATTTGACAATCTTAAGCACTAATCAGTGGAAACATAAACATAAGTCATTTACGTTACAGACTAAATATAAAATTATTAAAAGGTTGGAAAAATGGTATAAAGCAAAGTGAATTACAAAGAAATGAATATGATTGAATTGACAGTTGATACCATTTGGAAGGAGAAAGAAAGTTTTGAACATGATAATTTGAATGCTAAAAAACTTAGAAAATCAGTACATGATAAATTAGATCAAGTATTGCTAAAATGGTTTTTTCAGCAGACTTAAAAACACAACTATTAGTGGTGCTATATTGTGGTCAAAAACGGAAGAGGAAGCAAATTAGAAAAGAGTTTAAATGCAATAGAAATTAGATCAAGAAATTTAAAAAAGGACATAGTATTGAAAGCAAAAAATTGTTGGAGAAGTAGGTGCAGTAAACATAGACATGGTAGAAAACTAGTTGCAAAATAAGTAGCACAAAATTAGAGAAAATTTCCAAGATTGTGATATCTTTAACGCAGATGAAACAAATCTTTTTTTATAAGCTTACACCAAATAGGATGCTAAAATTCAAAGGAGAAAGCTGTGCATGAGGAAAATTATCTGAAGAAAGAATTACTATTCTACTAGCATCAAATCTTGTGGGAACAGAAAAGAAAAAATTGTTAGTAATCAGTAAGTCAAAAATTCCAAGAAGTTTCAAAAATTGACAGCTACCAATAAACTACAAATCTAACTGAAAAGCTTGGATGACCTCTGAAATTTTCTGTGGCAAACTTCAAGAATGGGATGAAGAACTGAGAAAAAAGAAACAAAACATTTTATTATTGATTGACAATTGCCCAGCACATTCCAACATTAAGAATTTACATTACATTACACTGGTGTTCATGCTACCTAATACAAGTTCAAAACTACAGCCTTTAGATCAACGGGTTATACCAGGCATGGCCAACATACCGCCTGCGGGCCAGATCCAGCTCGTCTAATGAATTTATGTGGCCTGTGATCAAACTTTCAATATTAGGTACGTTTCTTTTTTTTATTTGTGGTTTTAGGCCCCTTACTGCTCAGAGAGCACAAAGAGGCCAAGAATGTTGTTTTCAGAAGAGTGTTCTGATTTTGTTAGCGTCCCTAAATAGGCTCATAGAAGTCCCAAGTAGGGCTCATAAATACTAGTCTCTTGTGAGGGCTCATATATTTACGTTTTTTATGTTATGTCTAATTCTTTACTCAATATTAGGTACTGAAGTCCAAATAGTTCGATGAAAAATTCTGACGCATAAGGAAAAAAAAAAAAGGTCAACAACTCACTGTGTGTTTAGAGTTAACCCTCCATTACAAATCTCGTAAGTACAGCATAAAGTGTTGATAAAGCATGATGATGTGAAAAATATATCTGTAATCTCTATCTACAATTCAGTCTCTGTGGGATTACACCACAATGAGATCTTGCACAATCTCAAAATCTTCCTAGGGCAGCCTCTGGTTCAGCCCAATGAAAAGTTTTATTTCCAATTCGGCCTGGGGGCAAAAAGTGTTGGCCACCCCTGGGTTATACACAGCTTAACCTTCTTAGAAGCAGTTACCACGCCCCCGTGTTTACGTTTATTGTCTAGAAGGGCCAAGGTCAATATAGGTCAACAAGTTATATTATTTCAAAAATTCACCAAAAATCAAGTTATTGTTATATTCATATGACAAAAATCACGTTACATTTATTAATATCTGTAGTTATAAATACGATATTTTAAAATACATTTCCATAAAAAAATTCAATAGAAAAAAATTATAATATATCAGAACTGACATCTGTCTGTGAAAATTTGCAACATTTTTTAAAATTCACATACTCCAATTAAGTAGTTTGTTCTTGGCACTAAGCCAGAACGACTTAAAATGTTGTTCTGTACAATTCTATATAACATTTATGAATGTACGATTTTTAGTTTTAAAATTATCACAGATTATAATATATCCTTTGTTTGGAATCTAACCTTTATTTTGCTATCGATGAATATTACGAACTAATATTCTTTATTCATTTTATTTTGAACAATAATATAAATTATTGTGATAAATATATAAACCAGTAGTAATACATTTACGATGTGCTAATATTTTTAATTAAATTAAAAAATAAAAAATAAAAAAATTTATAAAATATTAAAATTAAAGGTCACAATTTAAATATTTATCATACATTGACTTATTATAACTAAATAAACTTATTATAGCATGAATAAACGTATTTTAGTAATATTATTACGTAAATATGCTATAAAATAAATGAGAGAATATATAAATTAAGAAAATAAATCGCTAAATAAAAATTTCTGAGTCAACAAAACACCACCTGGACAAAAATATGTGAAACAGATGGTAGACAACACACTACAGTCAAGTGGTGGCATCTGTTGCCAAAAATTTTCATTAAAATCGATTTTTCGCAAGGTAACAACAAATCGGTACTCTAGTACATTGTTATAACAATGGGGGGTGCGACAGATCGTTACCCTGGTTTTAAGAAAGTTAAAGATTATCAGCAAATTCTCCTTTTGAAAATGGTAATTTCTATAGATAATAGCAAAGAACTGTTTCCTAAAATCTTCTTGATGCAATGAACTTTTTCCATATGGCATGGCAAAATGTATCAATGCAAACAATAGCAAATTGTTTTTAACATGCTGGCTTTCTATAAACTAATGGAGAAGATTACAAAAAACTACTTAGTTACTTAAGAGTTGAACAGGTTTATTAGTCTACACTAGAGGATTTGATCCCGGGATCCCGACTACTTTTCAGTCCCAAAATTTTCGGGATTAAGTTTTCCTAATCCCGAGATTTTCGGGATTGACATCATTTTAAAAAAAGTTGCAAAATAGACTGCATGAAGCGAAACGTTCAGTGCCAGTGCTTTTAACAGAATTGCTTGCCTATCATTTTAATATAAAATACAAGAAATTTTATTCCAAGCAAGCAGCAGAAATTAACCTAGCGGGCTTGCGATGCTTGCTTGGAATAAAACTTCTTGTATTTTCAACTAAAATGATAGGCAAGCAGTTCTCACTGGGTTACTTGGTAATATACTTCATTTTTGTATTTTTGAATTTTCGCGGGCGCCAATCGATTTTCTGGCGCAGTCGAGAGCACTACTCAGTGCGTTTTACCTGTCAATGTGTCAGCCATCTTGTTTTGCCAGTGTGGTTAATATAGACCCGACGCCTCTCGCTTAGGGGGGTCGACCTTAGGTGAAAAGGTTACGACCCCCGCCTTGCCCGTGATCTGTCAGGATGATGCGAGAAAGTCTTTTTACGTTTGGGAGTAGTGGTTTGCTGGATGCTGAGAGACTCACACAGAGACCGAATTTACAAAATTAACGTGTTTATTTTTAGAAAGGCATGCTTACAATGATCGAAACAATCGGGATTGTAGCCTTTACTCCTACAATCCCGATCTGTGTCGACCGGACTGTTTTCTTCCAACCTCCCCGTGTCCTCGAAGCTATAACTAGAACGGGCTTATAAGTATTTACTAACGATTCCTCCAACTTCCATCAAACCTAAACGCGTTTTCTCAGCAGCTGCATATATGTGCAACAAATTGAGAAGCAGACTTGGTGATGAGACACAGGATGCGTTGTTATTTCTCAGATCATATTTTCGCAATTCAAATTAGAATGTTCCTATTAGATTAGTTTTCTTTATATTTAAGAAAAATGTGACTGATTAATATTATTTTTAAATACTTTTTGCTAAGAAACTTATCTTACTACCTACTTACTAGGTTGCTATATGAAAGTAGTCTATTTAGTCGATGTTAAGAGAGATTTTTGTTAATTTTCAACGTTTATTTGCATAGTTTGTTACATAAAGGTTTTTTCAATTTATGTGAGTTTAAAGAGATCTCAGTGATGCTTAAAAAAGAATAAATTTAACATGAAGACTGAGTGATTTTAAGTCTGGTTAGTCTGACTCTGAGTCTGATTAGTTAGAGTGATTAAATTAGCTAGGTGTATACTGTAAAATATGTTGATTTTTGTCTAAATTTTGATTTGTTGATTTCTGTAAGATTTTCTTATTTTTTATTAACCCTCAATACCGAAATAATCCCGGGATCGACTAAGTATAATCCCGAAATCCCGGGATTAGAAATAAGGACCGGGATCGAATTCCCTTGTCTACACACCCAGCCTATTTAACCAAACCCTGTTCATTAGTCTTAAGTAACTAAGTAATTTTTTGTAATTAAATAATATAGGCAAAAAGCTTTTTAATATAATGAAGAAGAGTTTGATTCAAGTGGTGACATTTTGATCAACAAACTTTTAAAAAGTAAACTTACAAATGATGAAACAAAAGGTGTTCAAGATGTGCTTCCTCCGCAGTTATCAGATGCATTTTCTGACTACGATTTTGAAGAATATGTCAGGGTTGATGACAATATTATTAGTAGGGAACTTTTGATGATGATATTATAGCTTCAGTGTCTCCCAAAAATAATGAAATTAGTGAAGATGAAGATGATAATACAACACACACAGATGGTGTCAACATTCCAATAATGCGAATTTCTGAAGTTTTGCAAAACACTTGTTATTTGAAAGTTCTTACAAATACACAATACTCCAGTAAATATTTTAAATAGTTTTGCTGAAGTAGAACTATATATTACAGAACACTATACAACTAACAAAAATCAACAAATAAAAAATAACATTTTTTTTTAAGTAATCATGCATGTGTATATTGTGTTTCAATGAATTTGCATACATGGAACCAATTTACGGTGTGGTAACATCAAAGAATATTGAAAAAAAAACAAATGTTTTCGAACCCCTTCCGGGCTCTGCATCAGGTTCTAATGCTTTTTTTAGATCTGAAATTTGATGAACGAATGCCATTCAACTAAGAGTTTGTTCTTGAGTTTGAAACGATTTACAAAAAATTTTATGTTGCGCATGCACGACGAGTCTGCCTGCCTGGATACAACGAGCAGCTAGAGCATGCTGTGAATCAACGTGCATAAATTTTTAAGAGAAGATGCTTTTGTCGATGGTCTGGCAAGAGTTGATTCACAGCACGCTCTAGCCGCTCGTTGTATCCAGGCGGGCAGACCCGTCACGCATACATGATGTAAAATTTTTTGTAAATCATTTTGAACTCAAGAACAAACTCTTAGTTGAACGGCATTCAGTAATTGAATTTCTGATCTAAAAAGCCATTAGAACCTGATTCAGAGCCTGGAAGGGATTTGAAAACGTTCGTTTTTTCAATATTTTTTGATGTTGCCACACCATAAATTGGTTCTGTGTATGCAAATTTTTTGTACGTTGGTGTGGTGAATAGCTATTTGATGTTTCAATGGGCAACTTCCTACGTATTTGTGAGAATCAAAACAGATATTATACAATTGAATAATAAAATGTAGAGTTTAATAAATCAATCCAGAAAACAGAAATAATCTGGACTGCATTCAAGAATGTTTCCTTCATCTTTTGATGGAGAGAAAATAGAAATGTTTTAAAAGATAGCAAAATTTTTCTTTTTCCAAATCTTTATTCAATTAGCATGAGAAAATATATAAATCTTCTATATGTTGTTTTCCTAAAAGTGGCAGATGTGTCATTTGTTAATGTTAAAAGGGGAAATTGTACTTTCCTTCCCAAGTTCTTATCTCGAACTTTGACAACCATCTGTGTATCTAACCCCTCTGTATATCCTGTCAGTGGCCATAAATCCATGATTTCTATTGGATGAAAGTGACAATAAAAAGGGCAATTTCCCCTGATTCAGGGAGTTATCTGAAATTTTGACTTGTGTCCAGTAGTAAGAAGTCAGCTCCTTCACTCATTGTCCTCCTCCTCGACCATCGTCCACCACTGAATTTCACCACCTCACTGACTTTAGAAGACATGAATCAAGATCTACTAGCGAGGTAGTATATCTAAGTTGTTCTAAACTCTCTCTCTCTCGCACACACACACAAGTAGATAGGGATTTAGACTCTCCTTGTATACCTGTAAGTTTATTTTATTTTGTCCTCATTAAATATTGTTTTGTTTCTTTAAATGGTCTCATTATTGATCTCAACTCATAGCCAAAGTCTTATCATGGCTGTACAATCCTTCCCTCTCAGAAAAGTAGTTAAATTTGTTCATTAGCATGCCTAATGCTATAATTAGGCTGAAGTCAGAAAAAACTGACAGGAAGATCATACAAACTTCCTGTTCCCCAGTTTACACATTACTAAAAACCCATCCTAGTGGCCTGTGGGCAATCTTTCCGATTTGAGCTGAACAAGAGTGAGAAACACATTTTCTCAACTCTGGATTCCCACATATTAATTTGTTACATTTTATCTTTGAAACATTTAACTTTAGTTTTTTTAAAATATGACTGTTTTATTTCTTATCTGATATTACAGACATTGGTTATAACAAACCAGTTCAGGCAGTCTGTACAGATTCATTATAAGCAGACACTGCTGTATATAAAAATAAATAAATAATAAGTATTAAACAAAATTATTAACTAAGTAAGTTATATAAAGTAATTAAGTGTACTCTGTATTCATGGTATTCAAGTATTCAAGTATTTGAGATATTTGAATATTCAAAATTTGGTTAATATTTGAATTCAAGAAAAGTGGATATTCACCCATCTCTAATCTAAAGAATTTTTAAAGATTTAAATTCAAGTCAACAAATTTAGCATACTCTTTCAATTTATATCAAAAAAATGGTGTCATGATTTGTGAATCTTTACTACAAAATTATATTTTAATAAAAATAATGTAAATATCCCCTACAAAGAATCTATATTATAAAACAAAAAAAAATAATAAAATGCATTACAACACCATATTGAAAACTGTATAAATTTTAAATACTTAATCTCATTAATTACCTTTTCTTTTATAAAAATTTGAATTTGATATCTTAAATGAAATAATAAAATATCACTTGAAATATAATTACTTTTGATTTGGCAGATTCAAAATGATGTAATTCATCAATGTCTTCACCTGGTATTCTAAGAATAAAAAAGAAAATAATCACAAGTGATCTACAAGATTTAACATGATCATTTTATATTTAAATGATATATTAATGATTTTAAAACTTTTTTACAGAAACAAATTAATATTTTTTGTATATTGTGTTTTAAGTTAACAAAGGAACTTCGTAAATTCAGCAAATTAAAAAATTTGCTGAATTTGGTAAATCATAGCATCATCAGTAAGGTGTTAGCACACCTTACTGATGATACTATGATTTACTTACTACTTATAGAATGATTTGATAGTTTGCAAATCATTCCATAATTTTCAATTTGCTAGTAGTGTCTTCTGCTTACTGTTTGAAATTTATAAACAATGACTATCTAAAATTTTTATTTGGCAGATATCAACATCTAAAACCCAATAGTTATGTATTAAAGCCTGCAAGATTATATCAGACTATATCACTACTATTACTAATAATTAAATGCTAAGTAATTTGGCACTAGAGATAGGCATTATACACCATCTCTTGCTAAATTTAATAATTATTCATTGTAATAGTAATATAGGTCAATATAATATGGCAATCATTTAGCTTTATTGGCAGTGACACTTCATCAAATAAAAGTTGATTTGTGATATTCAAACAGAAGAAAAAAAAAAAACAAAGAAAAATTCAAAACCACACTTTACATGTCCAACATTTAGGAGCTTCTTCTATGAGTATTTTTTACTGTTTGTATAGTGTTATATCCTTTCCGAAACTTAAAATGCATATCAAGCATGTTATGTATGTTTTTTATCTGCAAACATTTCAATTTGATTTTATACAAATAAAATGTGAAGTAAATTTTTAAAATAAGCTTGTAAACAAAAAATACAATATCACATTAGCAGTAATGTGTCAAATTTCACAACTATTGTAATTAAACTGAATATCTAAGGGTATGTCCTGCATGGCAGTGTCCAGCAACCACAAGTGGAAAGAATCTTTGTACACACTTCCAACTCACGAGCAACCTCTGTCCAGAGTGGACACGTCTACAAAATGGCAATGAGACTACTTTGTTGAATGCTTGCTATGGAAATTATGACAAGAATTAAAATGGTAAATTTGATTGGTAAATGTTATAGCTAACTAAATACACAACAGATATAAAAAATCTTCATAGAATAATTTTAAAAAAAAGTTTTATTTTTAAAACGTTGCAATTACAAAATCAGAAATTATTAAATTATGTAAAAACTAGCAGACCCCACCATGCGTTGTTGTGGCTCAAAATGTATGTATTATAAATTTATAACACTTCCCCTGTGGGGGGAATTTTTCGAAAAATTTCTTCGTAGTGTACATTCTCTTGACGTACCCTATTAAAATGCAATCAAAAACTCGCATCTAAAATAGTATAAATAGAAGCAGAGTTCTTTACCCTAAGCCTTAATCCTAACCATCTCCCTTCAGTGAGGGGAATTTTGACATGTATATTATATAAAAACACGTGCTTATTCAAATGCAGCGTTGTGTCAAAATTTCAAAGGAATCGGTAGGAACAAACGAACATTACATTTTTATTTATATAAATAGATAGAAGATGATCTGCTTTAGTTCATTTTCACAGAAAAGCATAATGCCTCACAGAAAAGCAAACTTAGGGCGTCATACTCGTAGCGCCATCTGTTGGACATAAAAGCCTTAACCTAGATTATATCTTTTAATTTATATGAATGTTTAACAGAATAATATACAGCCTACGTCCACCCTGAAGTTTCATTCTAAATATTGGTGAAAGAATTTTTGAAATCGGATGAGTAATTTCGGAGATTACCTGCTGCATACAAACTTACATACTTACAAACATTACCTCTTTATAATATTAGTATAGATTATTAATTAAAGTATATGTAACATATACACACATTTCAATCTTTTTTTATTCATCTACAGAATAGTCATTTTCTTCTTTGGAAGCATAAGCAGTGGAAGTAGCAATCAAACTTGCTTGGTAGCTGCTTCCAGCACACACATGTAGAAGTGTTATCTGATGGTCACTGCACATTAAACATGGTTACTCCAAGCACGCACATTTGCTTGAACCAGTTAGTCTGCTCTGCTTGGAAGTGCATTCATGCCCGTGGTCACTGGACGCTGCCAAGTAGAACATACCCTAAATCAGAAATCACCCTCAGCACAAAAATAGAAAATTTACAAACACCTTATTTGCTGAGAAAAACATATCTATGGTAAGTAAAACCAGCTATTAAAGCCACATTAATTAAAACTTCTGCCATATATATAAAAGGATTGTGGCGGTATACCAAAGTTTGTTTGTTTCTCTTTCCCTGTACTTTTTGTTCTTTGTTTCCTTCTACCATTTTAAAACTGTTTCTTCTTTACCAAAGGGGGATCTATGTCAATGTTGGGAAAATGCCATTCTTTTTTCAAGAGAACCGGTCATCCAATGGGTTTGTGGACTGTATTTATAAGAGTGAAAGGACCTAAAAAAAATGAACACCTATTATTCAACAAACTTCAGCAAACAAAGTATTGAGGTACCCCTTTGTTCTCTATCAACTATTCTTCTATCCTGACATTCACTCTCTATTGCTAAGGTCTATTTCTGTATTTAGATAATTATTAGTTAGTTTTAATTATTTACTGTTTCATCCTCACAATAGATTAAGCCTTTTATGTTGTTTAGAATCCTTTGTATGCATTTTTGTGTTTTTAGTTTAATATTTTTGTATCACGCTGAGTTTTCCTGGAGCACAATCCTCAGCTAACATCATGAGTTGTGTTGTTGTAGTTTGTAAGAATTCCAGTGTCAATTTGAATAAAATTTTATTTGTAAATATTTTATTTGTTGTCATAACCAGTTATTTAAATATTTACATATCACAGGACTGCCACAATTAATTTTGTGTGTTAATCAAATCCTGCATTAACTAAAACCACATTAAGCAAAGGATATCTAAACTAACAACTGAGCTAAATGCAAAACCTATGTTTAAATCAATAAGCATAAATATTGTTCCAGGTCATATACATAAGCAATATTAGGCAATATTTCCAAGAACATGTCATATAGTTAGGAAATTCTTAAACACAGATATATACATAAACAACAGCACAAAAAAAAAGCACAGTAACAACACAAACTACTAAAATCTAGCAAAAACTCACTTTACTAAAATAAAGTGAACATTAAACATGTAATATGTAAAATTGGATTGATTAAGTCCAATGCATGTAAATATATTAGAAATATCCAGCACAAATTATACTTACTAAAACTAATGAAAACACAAACTTTTTTAAATTGTTGAAAACATTGATGACATTTTAAAAATGTCAAAATCAAGTTATGTTATCATTAGGTCCATAATGTAATATATTTCATCCAATCATATAATGTTCTTTAACTTTAAAATTGTATTCTATCTTCTGTTTTGCACTCCATTCTACATAAACTTGATGATGACATTCTAAAAATTTCAAATGTTTGTTTTATTTTAGCAAAATGAGTTTTCCTGATTTTCGTGGTTTTTGTGTTGTTATTTTATATTACATCCAGTTCTAAATTAATTGTAATTCACTATAATATACTATATATTTTGACAGAGCAGTTATAATAGATAAAACAATCCAGTAATCAACAGGACGACTAACACGCCAAATTAATATATAATAACGAAAACAAATACACTGAGTTCAGCGTTACATGCGTTTTTTATCGCTAGCACTTTCAACGAACTTATTGTCATCGTCCTCAGGTGAATACAGATATTTACCAAAAAATTGTAAACAAAAATAATCTAATGCAGAATAGAACGCATAAGATAAGTTGAAATTATGTTAAAGCCGTTAAGAACACAAAGTAAATATTTAAACATAATTCGAAAACCAAACGAGCAGACAGCTCCATGAAATGCGAGCTGGCGCATGCGCTGAGCCAAGCTCATGCTACATGCATACTAGAGACTGCTAATACTCGCTTAAACACTTATAAAGCGTGACTCATACACTAGGCAGCTCGAGCGTAGAGGTGTTGCAAGTGTCCAAGGTGGCAGTAAGGAGAGATTCCCATATAAATACAGTTTTTCGATCCTTGCAGCTCTTGAGAATAACCGCTTGGGACCATAGCGGGTTGTAACCCTGCTCAAGTACCTTCCTTGCAAGCTCGGTGGTGTAAGATGTAAGAACGCTACTCCTAACATCATCTTGGTGCGCATCAAGGCGGCTGGAAAGCATTCTAGTGGTGGCCCCGATATATCTTGTGTTTACTCCCGTTGCCTGATTTTCCAAAGGTACAGCATAGACCCCCAATTTCTCAAGAGTGGAAAATTTGTCTCTATCATTACAAATAAGTTTGCATAGGCTTGGAAGTGGGGTTAAAGGTAGTACAAGGTTGTGCTGCTTAAAGATTCTGCAGATGTGTAAAGATAGGGGTCCAAGGTAAGGCAACGAAACGCTATTTGTACCTTTGAAGACTCTCTCTTGCTGCATAAAGTAGTACTTGGAAACAGTGTTTCTTTACCTTATTGATCACATGCGTAAACTTTGCACATGAAAAGCCAGCAGCGCGTACCGCCAAATTGACAATATCTAACTCAACGTTTATCAGCTCCTGCGTAGACGACAGTAAATAAGCCCTTCTGACAAGGGAGGCAATGGCAGTATTAACATATCGAGAAGGCTGAAAGGCCTCTGCTGGTATAACGTGCAGAGCTATGCTAGATTTGTGATGGACCGAGAATTGTAGTCCTTACGAAAATTTATGTATACGCAAGTCTAAGAACGCTACTTCCTCATCGCTTTCTTTCTCCCAAGTGAAATTGATGGAAGGATATATACTTGCGAGTTGTTGCATAAAGATGAGGAACGACTCCTCTGTGTCTTCCCACGCTATGAGGATGTCGTCAACATAACGCAAATACAGCCTCGGGTAATGGATGGCAAGCGGGGAATTGAACATTCTGTGCTCAATCTCTCTCATAACAAGTTCCGCTAGGATAGCGGATAAAGGGGAAC